AAAATGTCAGTAAAGTCATTTCAGACATATTTTTTTTTGTTTTGCCACCCTGAATTTGCAAAGAATACAAGGTATACGCAACATTTGAGAGATATTTTCATTAGGGACTTGCGTCCCGTAAGTTCCTTAACCCATAATGAGGTATTGACCTAGGTGTTTTTTTTAACTATTCGTCTTGTCTGTTTGTGAAAACTTAATAGATGATTTTAACCCTCTCTATGATAGTAAAGGCATATTTATTACTTATGCATTTGGCTCCATGAAGGTTAGTAAGTGCTACTTGCATTTTATCACTAAAGTTTCCTGTTGAGCAGACAGATAAGCAAACAAATAAACAAATAAACAAACCTTCTCTGCTGTCAACACGTTTCCCATGAGGACATACGTGATTATGATGATGAAAATGGTAGGATCCATGCCCAACCAGTTGAACAGCTTGATGACTCCCTTCGCTATGTCACCTTTCACCATTATCCTTAGTTCCACCCTGTTTTAATTAAAACAATAAAATGCTTAAATAACTTCGACAGAAGGTAATGATTTTGGCAGCTTTTGTGCGTATGTATGAGTGTAATTACGTATATATTATTACAATATTTAGCACCATTACTCAACATGCTATGAATGGATTGTCGTGGAACTTGCTGGGTGGGTGGGTCTTGATAAGACCGCAAAGTTATCATATTTGGGGCCACATCGCGGCTTGTTATAGTATTGCAGTGGAACTTCAGGTTTTGATATCTCGTAATCTTTTTATTTAGTCAAATTTATATACTTTACATATGGGCTATTAACCTAAATCGGGTGATTAAAGAAACCAGCCATGATATCTATAATCTATCGAATAAATCCCTATATATAGATATGTACTTCTTACTTAATGGGTTAGATTGTCATATTCTTATCGACACTTAGGAAACGCAAAAAAACAAATAAATAAACAAACAAACAAGGATAAAAAAATCTTACCTCCTCAGCTTGTTGATGACGTCACTAAAAGGTTTCTCCCAAGCTTGTAGCTTGATCATTCTCATCGACTGTAGAATCTGACTCATCACGTCCAAACGCGCGTCTTTACGAAAGTTTTCTAATGTGCTAAAAAAGAACATGAAAAACAAGAGTTCCGAGATGTCATACCTCCATAAAATATGGGATTGATATGTTAATGTAAATTCATTATTTAATTATGCAAATGACCTCTGCATTAACATAATATATGCATCGTGATGTTAACTTTTGATTAACTTACAGATGTCCCAAGTATGACATTTCCATCATTCACCATTAAGAAATCACAGAATTTTTGGAAAAATTATGCAAATTAGATCATTTGCATAGTTAGTATCTGTTGATGTTCCATCTGCCATGGGTTACATACATTACATGTATGAAAGTACAATAATGTAAAACACTGTAATTATAAAATTTCCTCATTAATTATGCAAATAAAGTCCTCATTTGTATAATTTGCATTTAATTATGTACATCTCTCTCTCAGCTACTTACCTACCAAAAATTATGAAAATAAGCTGTTCCTATCTTGATTAATTGGCTTTCAAAGATTTCGCCCGAAGGTCCCCTGCAGTTCCAGAACAAGCTGCTAGGGGG